GACACCAATAAATAAAAGTAATTGTATTTTTTTCCCTAAATTAAATACCCATGAAGTCCAATAGGGTGGATTTGTTTATAGATCAAAAATGAGAAGGAAATGTCCACAATAATACATATAGTGTGTGTAACAGCATTTTATGTATTATTGAATTATAAAATTACCAAATTATGAATTATTATTATATGAGAATTGTTAATTGCTTTAGGTTGTATCTTTGTCTTAAACTCACCCATATACACTATTCACAAGGACCTTTCCTTCACGTTTTTGACCTATAACTAGTATCCTCAGATAATATTTTGCCCATTTTTGCTGTAGATATATCGCCATAATCATGCAAAATGTATGCCTACAATGTTAGGTCATGTTTAATTTCAACAATACTATTACCAATTAAATTTATACTATTTTTATTAAGAATAGTATTTGTTATACATTCCTTAATTTAAATATATGTAATGATAAATAGTATTACTAAGTAATAGTGCAACAACTATTCCATGTTTTCTTCTGAGCTTATGTTAAACTCTTGGACAATCTAAATCTTTTTACAATACACAATGTTTTTACCTGAACCATCGAAAGGTCTAAATGTTGCACTTCTTGCCCAAACAATTTGCCTAGTTTCTCTTCGTATCATAAGAGTCTTTTTCTCTGGTCTTTTCCTTGGAAAAAATTTGGTTACTATAGTCCCCCTTTCAAGCTGACTAATAACTTGCTCCATTTCAGGAATTATCCCGTTCATATTTAAAATATTTTATGTTCTCTATAATAAATGTATATTACTTTAATAATTTGGATGACATTGAAAATTATATATGGAACAGTAATTGATAAAGACGTGCAGATGTAGGTATAATACAAAATTATTATTAAATCAAACATTTCCATTAAAAAATCTACTACTCCATGTATTAGTTTTAAGTATATTGAAAATATTTTTTAGCATATGCATATCCAAAGGATAATCTGTTTGTAATAAAAATGTGTTATAAAGCGAT